TCGAACTCAAAGTCACTCAAATACTGCTGTATATGGAAACCTTTAGGTTGCATTCACACTTGTGCCACTCCAAAGTCGCACGATTTCCAAGTGTGAATGGAGCCTAAAGGTTTCTACACACAGCAGTATTTGAGCGACTTTGATCCAACTTTACACTCTTTGGCACCAGGTCTGTATCTAGCCTATCTGTTCTGAGGGTGCAGTAAAAAAAGTAAGGGGGCATAATGTCAGTAGTGGGACAGGGATGCATGGAACCGCTATTCCCTGTTCACTTGGCACACATCTGTACCACGGAGTCATAACCTGGAAGTAACATCTGACAGGTAGTGCAGAGGTGGTACAGGAGTGAACTAGGAATGCTGTCATTACTTTAGGGTAATTAAACAGGACCTGTGCCCCTCATATCAAGTGTTCCTAACATAGTCTGTCCTTCTATCCGGAGTTCTTCTCAGAGTTCGTCCTTCTATCAGGAGTTCTTCTCAGAGTTCGTCCTTCTATCAGGAGTTCTTCTCAGAGTTCGTCCTTCTATCAGGAGTTCTTCTCAGAGTTTGTCCTTCTATCAGGAGTTCTTCTCAGAGTTTGTCCTTCTATCAGGAGTTCTTCTCAGAGTTTGTCTATCAGGAGTTCTTCTCTATCAGGAGTTCTTCTCAGAGTTTGTCCTTCTATCAGGAGTTCTTCTCAGAGTTTGTCCTTCTATCAGGAGTTCTTCTCAGAGTTTGTCCTTCTATCAGGAGTTCTTCTCAGAGTTTGTCTTCAGGAGTTCTTCTCAGAGTTTGTCCTTCTATCAGGAGTTCTTCTCAGAGTTTGTCCTTCTATCAGGAGTTCTTCTCAGAGTTTGTCCTTCTATCAGGAGTTCTTCTCAGAGTTTGTCCTTCTATCAGGAGTTTCTTCTCAGAGTTCCTTCTCAGAGTTTCAGAGTTCGTCCTTCTATCAGGAGTTCTTCTCAGAGTTTGTCCTTCTATCAGGAGTTCTTCTCAGAGTTCGTCCTTCTATCAGGAGTTCTTCTCAGAGTTCCTCCTTTTATCAGGAGTTCTTTTCAGATCTCCTCCTTCAATCAGTTCTTCTCAGAGTTCCTCCTTCTATCAGAGTTCTTCTCAGAGTTCCTCCTTCTATCAGGAGTTCTTCTCAGAGTTCCTCCTTACATCAAAGCTCCTATAAGAGTCCCTCCTTTCATCAGGTGTCCACATCAGAGTGCCCCCTTGCATCAATTGCCTCATCATAGTGCCCTCTTGCATCAACTGTCCCCCATCAGGTCTCATGGATTTGTGAATGCACTCTCAGAAGTCTAGGGGGGGGGGCACAACTAAAATCTGGGGGCATAGCCCACCCCAGCACCCCCCTAGATCCGGGCCTGTTTGCCACTAAGTAGTATGCAGTATTTCATCTATCGCATCTGTGACAGGCGCAGCGTCAGACCCCAGCCCCTCTCACCAACTTGTGACCGAAGGACCAGTCAATCTAAAACCGCGCTGCCACTTGCATAACAATGCCATTCTCAGCTGCACCCTGCACAAAGATTTTCCAGCTCACTGGACCACAATCTATGTGACAGCAGCCTGAGAGCAATTGTTACTGGGTCAGGTTAATTACACAATTAACCCTTCACACTGCCACCACCTCCTTTTTATAGAGAAGGAGGCAACTCACAAATCTTAGCAGTAACACTATGATGTTTGAATAAGCGTCTGTATACACACTGCCACCGCAGACAGATGTATGCAGAGGGTTAAAACACACGGTAGCACTCTTCAGAGACAGGGATTCTTAGTTTGCATTAAAGAACTTTAGAAACAGTTCAACACTTTTCAGAAAATAGGATTTATTACTAAAAAGGTCAAAAAGGTGCAATAAAAATATTTACAGAAAAAGATGTAACAAATATATATATAGAGAGAGAGAGAGAGAGAGAGAGAGAGAGAGAGAGCAAGCAATAACACAACAGAGAGATAAAGAAAGAAGTTTCAGAAGGTAGGATACCTGCAGAAGTCCTTGGTTTAAGCAGAGCTCAAGTGTCCTGAACAAAAGGGTACCTTTTCTCCCAAAGTTGGTTCCTGATGTTAAAAGGGAGAATCTCCTCATCTTTTCTCCAGGCATGACAGCCTTTTCTAGTGTCCCAGCAGGGTGTGTCTACTGAAGCCAAGGGCCAATTGCCTCATTTGGGGTGGGGTGTTAGGCGGAGACCCAGGCTGTGACCCAAATCCCTCCCTAGTTTATACCATGGTCAATAACCTTCCATAGGTACATGTAGCATCCTATCCACTGGTAGAATAATATGCAGAATCATATTCTGAACGTCCAGACACCAAATATGACATATCTTACCGTTCCAGATAAAAACATATTGCTTTCTACTCTCGTGTAGATGTCACATAGGGGTGTAAGGTGTCAGGTGACTCGTATTAAAATGACCTATCTGAACATATGGTTTGTTTTAATAGGTCTTGTTCCTGTCGGGATTTATGAATTTGTATGAAAAAGTGTTTCAAGTGGGATGTATGTTTTACTGCCACTCTGGAATGCTTTTCACGTCCAGTAACTGACTGATTTATAGCTTTACGACCAGGCCAAGGTAAGAGTCTGACAGACATCATGGGACCAGCTAATTGGGTTTACAACCATGAAGCGTATCCAGATGTGCCCGATGCACTTGTGACCCCAGCATACACACACACACCACATGCCATTCAAAAAAGGGAGGGGGAAGACTGAACGGAGTGAGAATGAAATTTGCAGAGTATGATACAAGATGGTAGATGTGGGGAAATACGTAATAAACTTTGCAATCTTCCTGTATCCTACTCGAGTGTTGTTTACTTTGATTGCCCGATCGATCGAGCCCGTGCCACACCCAGACGCCCCGCGGCATATAAGAAATAAGAATATAAGGATTCCAGGAAAGAGGGAATACCTTACAGTAGATCTTAACAAAATGGTTGTCCACGTCCAATCGCCAAAGCATCAACATGTCCTAGCACCTTAGAGTGCATGCAGTATAAAAAAATACAACCCCTTAAACTGGCCATACACTACACAATTTTCTTGTTCAGTATCCTTTAGATTTACCTTCAACCCTGTAGTGCAACGGCATTCCTGACTGCCTACAAATTGAAGTGTTTAGTTGCGACCTACGCGAAGGAAATGCACCTGCATTGTATGCAACACCAAGCAGTATTTCCAAAAAAAGGGTCATGTGCAATCATAGGTATGTTTTGGATGTGTTGGCAGCCCTTTTTTTAATATTCTGCCATAACAAAATACACATTAAAGGAGTAACATAATGCTTATTTACGCGCAAAAAAAAAAAGAAGTAAATAGGCCCTTAAAGGATAAGTTCACCTTTGGAACATGTTACATGTTCACCCGTTTTTAGGGTGGAACATGTAACATGTTCCCATTGCTGCAGCCGTGCCTGTCGCCTTCCCCCCCTCTCTCTGACAGATAGTATGGGGAGAAGTTTCCGCGTACTATCTGTCAAATTTGAAAACAGCGTGGCCGTGCAGGGCTCCACCCGCACAGCCACGTCATTCATTCTCAGACTTCCGTGAATGAATGAACTGCAAGTCCCGACAGCCTTAGTGTCTGTGGGCTTGTAGTCTTCAATGAACTACCACGGCGCTCCACAGTTCATTGAAGCTTCCTGTAAGTATATCTGCTTGACTGTACATCCCGTACGGTAAGCAGATATTCTGACAGGTCTGCAGGAGACCCGCATGGCATCAGCGATCTACTGATTGCTGGTGCAATGCTTTCCAGGCTCCTTTGAACAAAAATAATAGATGCACATTTATTTACCTGCAAAAAAATGTGCATTTATTATTATTGTCCAAAAGGTGAACTCATCCTTTAAGTGAAAGGGGAAATCATTCCTTCCAGGTGAACTGTATACTTTGCATGGTCTTTACTAGGCTTTGTTACAGTTTTACTTCTCATTTTTGAGCAAATTGATTTGTCTTTTATGTCGTTTCTCAAACTAACAGAGGGGTAGAAAGCTCTGTCTTCATTATCCCTCAGCAATCTCTGTTTTGCAATAACATATTGAGTACCATCTGCATCACTTTAGCTTTTAAGCCTTCGAAGGTATGTTGGAAAAAACAAAACTCTTTTACCAATAGATTTCTGAGAAATTGTCCTTAGTTTAACACATTACAGAGAAGCAAGGAACACTAAATTGTTTTCAGTGTTAATTACATAAGACCAGTTGGCTTTTTAAAACAGTGCAGGTTTAGCATTTATTTGTCCCAGTGCCCTTTTTAAAATGCTGCCCAGTTGGCAGTGGTGGGTAGCGGCGTATTTTCATGGTGGAATTACCATCTGTTTTGACAGTGGTGGTCCAAAAGTATGATTACTTACTTTGATTTCCTTTTACATCTGGCAATATGGACAGTATTGAACAATTGTTAACTCTTTCCCTTCTCAACTTGAAAACACACTTTTATTGCTGTCCTTTTGCCCTTTGGAGAGATTCCCACAACTTACCATACAGGTGAGGGGAACAGAGTTTTGGCTGATGTTGGACTTTAATATTTGAGCTGCCCAGTTATGTTGGTCAGCTTGAACTTTCAGCTCTTGGGAATCCTAAAGTGGTAGTAAAGTCTTTATGTTTTACCTACAGGCAAGCCTTTAATAAGACTTACCTGTAGGTGCTGTAGGTGTCTCCTAAACCAGCACCGTTTAGGAGATATTTACTTTAGCAGCGCTGGTGATGTCACTGACGCATGCACAGTGCAATCATAACGGACGTCCATTGAGATACCCGTGCTGTGGCCAAGACACCCACGGGCATGCATGGGAGTGACGTCACCACGACTCGGCCAGTCAAATGCCTGCAGTCCAGGAACCCAGAAGGATGATTGGGTGAAGATGGAAGCCTTGGGGAGCCATGACATCGCTCAGCTGGAGGACTATTGTTTTCAGGTAAGTCTTTCATAATGTGCTAGTATGCGATCTATACTAACACATTATGCTTTTAAATTGCAGGAAGAAGATTTTTTTTTTAATACTTTAGGGAGCTTTAAGGCTAGGTTCACATATGTGCGGGTGGTGCTGCTGCAGATCCGCACGAAAATCCGTGCAGCCGCACCACCTCATAGAGGAATGCGGAGCCACAGGCTGGTGCCATTAATGCTAATGGCACGCCGCCCAATTTGGTGGTGCTTTTTTGAAGATTGACAGATACCCTGCGTGTGTTGATATCTCAATACCTGCCATACCTCCAAAGCAAAGCTAAAGCTGAATAAAAGCCTCTCAAAAGCTGCAGGTGCTGTAAGCGAGCTTTGTCATAGACTTCTATGGAGGCTTTGAAGACACTTTGAAGCACCACTTTGGCTAGGTTCAAATCTGTGCGGGTGGGTACCATTGCGAAAATCCATGCAGCTGCACCACCCGCACAGAGGAATGTGGACCCGCAGGCGGGTGCCATTTATTCTAATGGCACGCCGCCCGCACTGGAAAGCGCAACCGTGCTGGGAACCAAGGTTCCTTTGCGGGCTGCGTTTTCAGAAAAACTGCAGGGACTTCTTCTCTGCATGTACTGGAGCACAGGAGTCCATTCAAATGAATCGGCTCTCATGCCCGCGCAAAATGGGGACCGCAGGAACGCAGATATGTGAACCAGGGGTAAGGCTCCATTTACTCTGGCTTAAAAAAAACACTTCAAAATAGAAACAAACTCTCCTGTGCTCTGAGACCCAAAAGAGGTGGATGGATGGAACCAGAACTTGAAAAAATGTGACCACCTGTGCATATGGGGTTGTGCAGCTCCAAACAAGGCTGGGGAAGCCCGACCAATACTGTGAAGCAAAAACAAAAAAGAAGCCAACCAACCAACCTTGCGCATTACCTCGGTAAACCAAATTTTTATTGAATGCAGAATTATACTCACAAACAATGAAGTATTTCAAGCATGTAAGTTCTCAGAGGAACTGTGGAATGGTAAAGCCTGCGTGAGTCCCATCATAGGGGTGGACACTCAGGGAACATCTGACGCGTTTCGAAGGGTGTCCCTTCTTCATCAGAGCTTTACCATTCCATAGTTCCTCTGAGAACTTAAATGCTTGAAATACTTCATTGTTTGTGAGTATAATTCTGCATTCAATAAAAATTTGGTTTACTGAGGTAATGCGCAAGGTTGGTGCGCTTCTTTTTTGTTTTTGCTTAAAAAAAACACTACTTCTAGAGTTTAGCATTTTTCCTGTAGAAGCAACTAATGTTATCCTCTGCATCCATGCACATTAGGTAGTCTAGAGGTGTTTTTTAATCTTCGCGTTTGGAGGCAGAGAAAAAATCCCCTTTCTGTTTTCGTTTTTGAGAAGGGTTTTTCTGACAGAAAATTAGCAAATTCTGCTCAAAATTAGCATTTTTTATGCCAGGAGCACTGGTATATTGTTAAGGCAGCCTAACTGTGAATGTGGCAGATTCCCAGGTATTCCATCTTTTCTGATATACACAAAGTCCACGTACTGGGCTCTACCTTTTTAGGTAACTGAAATGATTTGCCCTCCTATACCACCAACTAAGACCAAATCTAAGCTAGCCAGCGGTACTACTTTAGACCATAACTGCGGTAGTGAGCAGAATTTAACATGACCACATTGTTGCTGTGCCTCCAGCTACACAGGGACATGTATGAACTCAACACTAAGTTTGCTTTTATGTGAAATGTAGGTGCAAAGAGACGACATGGGTGGTTGCCTGCAGCAAGCTTCTTTTCTAAATGTTCCATGCAGTGGAGCTGTATACCCATACAGCTGTTTACAAGATCCAGACAGGTTGCCAATAGATATTTGCCTGGATGCAAACACTTTATTATATCAATATGCTGCCAGGAAAGTATTTTGCAGGATACAGACTATACTTGACAGTAGTAGAATACATAGGTAGCCCTTCAGATCACTGAGCTCTGGCAAAGGTTCGACACATAAGTGTTGGCCTGCATCACCAGGTTTAGGCTCCATTCACATCTGTCTGACGCGGTAAACCATACGTTACATGGTAATGCATAAATGTATGGAGCCCTTTGTTGCCATTTATTTTAAATAAGACACCAGTACATACCCTTCACAACACAATGTACAGATATGAACCATCTACGTTTTATGTGCTGTGGCTTGTGTTGGAAAAAAACTGTGTAGATTCATTTAAAATCTGTTGCAGTGTATTGGCAGGCTAGATAAAGTGGTTGTAAACCCTTACATTTACCCAGTGAAGTTACTGGCCTCAGGTGATACACAGAGATGAAACAAATCCTCCTACATAAGTTGTACCTGTTTATCTGTTGTCTTCTCTTCTCTGCATCCATTGAAAGTGCTGAACTTATAAAGCTGGAAGAGCTGTCACCAAAAGTGGGCGGAGAGTTCAAGTTCCACTTTGCAGAGTTCAGTGAGGAGAGCTCTGAGAGCTGATTGGAGGGAAGGAACACCCCCTCCCCTTCACACAGCTCATAGGAACAGAGCTGAGGCTGTCAACTAGCTGGAGCTTCCTCTATTGTCACCATTTTTCTCTTGGTGTCAAGAAAACTTGTCCGAAGTGATTCATACTGATAGCAGAGGAATGAAGCATCAGACAGAAATGACACTTAGTGCTCTTAATTGAGACAAGTACACATCATAGAGGGATATGCTTTGTTCATATTTCATGTGTGAGGTTTACAAAAAATAAATAAATAACAACATCAACAAGATCTCCGTAAATGAGAAAAGCAGCTCTGGCTGCAATATTCACCTCCTCTCCAGTACTGTCCCCAGCAAATTCAGCCATTCTGTAATCCTTGCCACTCCCCTTAGTGGTCAATTACATTCAACCCTTTTCCTCTGAGTGTAGGGAGATGTGTAGGGAGTCTTGGGGTGGGGCTTCACCATGGTGCCATGACAGTAATGTAATGCAGGGAGCAGTAATGATGATTCACAACCTGTTAATGTAACATTTAGGACAGTCTGGTGCTGGAGAAGAAGAGAAGAAGATTGTAAGCTCCAAGGAGCAGGGCCCTCGATCCCCTCATGTTTTGCATTGTATTGGTATTGTTCTGTCACATGTTCCGTCCCCCTTTGTAATGTACAGCGCTGAGCGAACTAGGCACTTTATAAATACTGTATAATAATAATAATAATAATAATAATAATAAAATGTATTTATTTATTTCAGGTGCTTATATAGCGCCATCAATTTACGCAGCACTTTACATATATATTGTATATTCACATCAGTCCCTAACCCTCAAGGGGTGTACAATCTAATGTCCCTAACTCACATTCATACATACACATACTAGGGACAATTTAGACAGGATCCAATTAACCTACCAGCATGTCTTTGGAGTGTGGGAGGAAACCGGAGTACCAAAAAGGAAACCCACGCAGGCACAGGGAGAACATGCAAACTCAAGGTAGGTGGTCCCCATGGCTGGGATTCAAACCAACTACCCTAGTACTGCCAGGTGGAAGTGCTAACCATTTAGCCAGTGTAGCCAATGTAGTGTCACATGACCAGCCTGAAGACATCTGGAACATTGAGGAATAAAAGAAAAAGTCCAAAACACATATTGGGGTATCACGTTAACCTGTGGAATGACTCACATTAATTGTGTGCAGTTAGTCCTCATTCACATAGGTTCTGTGGCCCATGCAGCAAATCAACCATTTACTCATGCAACTGGAGCTGTGTGCAGGCAGCCTACGTAACTCTTTGGGGATGCAGCGACTATGTGGACAGAGCCACACAGCCACAGAGACATACCCTCTTGTTCTCAGGTGTGCTAGAGTTACATAGGCTGCTTGCATGCAGTTCTTGGCCACTCCAGATGCATAATCAAACACCCAAATCGCATTGTATGGACCACAGTTCCCTTGTGAATGAGGCCTAATGCATTGCAACTATCTGAATCCACCTTGAGTTAAAAAGGGAAGGTGAGTGTTAGGGTTACAGGAAGGGGAAGTGTTAGGATTAGTGTTAGGGTCTGTGTCAATGATCTTTGGGCATGCGTTAATGGCATCAGTTTGAGATGCTACCAAAATCATTCAGATTTTATCAATAGGTGCATTTGACCTGCAGTTGGCTTCCCACTGACACACAATTTACCTGCTTCAAGCGGGATTGCATTCCTATAGACCCTGGAAGCAGCACTGCATGCAAGGTCAGTGTCACTGGGCTTAAGGATACTGGACACAATAGCATTTTTATGGGCACAATATCAGTTATATAAATAACATATTTATACTATGGTGCCCAGATAGATGTTATTGTGCTCATATAACAGTGCCTTGAAAAAGTATTCATACTCCTTGAAATTTTCCACATTTTGTCATGTTACAACCAAAAATGTAAATTTATTTTTTGGGGATTTTATGTGATAGACCAACAAAAAGTGGCACATAATTGTGAAGTGGAAGGAAAATGATAAATGGTTTTAAAAATTTGTTACCAATAAAATGTGAAAATATGTGGCGTGCATTTGTATTCAGCCCCCCGGAGTCAGTACTTTGTAGAACCCCCTTTCGCTGCAATTACAGCTGCAAGTCTTTTTGGGGACGTCTCTACCAGCTTTACACATCTAGAGAGGGACATTTCTGCCCATTGTTCTTTGCAAAATAGCCAAAGCTCTGTCCAGATTGGATGGAGAGGTGTCTGTGAACAGCAGTTTTCAAGTCTTGCCACAGATTCTCACTTGGATTTGGGTCTGGACTTTGACTGGGACATTCTAACACATAAATATGCTTTGATGTAAACCATTCCATTGTAGCTCTGGCTGTATGTTTATGGCCGTTCTTCTGCTGGAAGATGAACCTCCGCCCCAGTCTCAAGTCTTTTGCAGATTCTAACAAGGTTTGCTACTAAGATTGCCCTGTACTTGGCTCCATCCATCTTCTCATCAACTCTGAACAGCTTTCCTGTCCCTGCTGAAGAAAAGCATCCCCACAATATGATGCTGCCACCACCATGTTTCACAGTGGGGATGGTGTGTTCAGGGTGATGTGCAGTGTTAGTTTTCCGCCACACATAGCAAATTTTTATAGGCCAAAAAGTTCAATTTTGGTCTCATGTGAGCACCTTCTTCCACATGTTTGCTGTGTCCCCCACATGGCTTCTCGCAAACTGCAAATGGGACTTCTTATGTTTTTCTTTCAACAATGGCTTTCTTCTTGCCACTCTTCCATAAAGGCAGATTTGTGGGGTGCACGAATAATAATTGTCCTTTGGACAGATTCTCCCACCTGAGCTGTGGATCTCTGCAGCTCCTCCAGAGTTACCATGGGCCTCTTGGCTGCTTCTCTGATTAATGCTTTCCATGCCCGACCTGTCTGTTTAGGTGGATGGCCATGTCTTGGCAGGTTTACAGTTGTGCCATACTCTTTCCATTGTCGGATGATGGATTGAACAGTGCTCCATGAAATGTTGAAAGCGTGTGATTTTTTTTATACCTTAACCTGCTTTAAACTTCTCCACAACTTTATCCCCGACCTGTCTGGTGTGTTCCTTGGCCTTCGTGATGCTGTTTGTTCACTAATGTTCTCTAACAAACCTCTGAGGGTGTCACAGAACAGCTATATTTATACTGAGATAAAATTACATTTAGGTGGACACTATTTACTAATTAGGTGACTTCTGAAG